GGGGGGCGCGCGCGCGTCGGGTCAGCCATGGCAGCAGCGGCGGCTGCAGCAACGGTCGCAACGGCCTGGCGATCACCCACGCTAGCGACGGCCTGCCGCCGCTGTCGGCTGTTGCGGGCACTGGGCTGCGAGCCCTGCACCTGCCCCCCCCGCCAGTCACCAATCGGTGCAGAAGGTTGGGTCGTCTCCATCGCAGCCGGAGCAGACGCTGCCTTCTTCAGTGGGGGCCGCGTTGCACTGCAGCGGGCAAGGGCCAGGCGTGCCACACACTAGTCAGCCAGGCAGAGGTTGAGCATCAGCGTACACGGATGCTGCAAGGGGCACGCAGCGCCTGCTCACCCCCCTCCTTGCACCGCCGCCAGCTCTGAGCGCGGCGGCAGTGCGCACCCCTGCGCACCCGCACGCATTCGCCGGCCGAGGTCAGGCCGTAGCCTGGCCAGCACAGCTCGCAGCGTGAGCCATCCAGAGCGCAATACTTGCAGCCGCCCAGCGAGCCGTCGGCGTAGATGGGGAAGCGGTGGTTGGGGATGCAGGCGATGGCAGCGGCGGGCGCGCCTGCAGCAGGGCGCAAGTGGCGGCCGGTGGTAGGCCGGGGCGGGGGCGCGCTGACCTGCCTGCGCTTTCCAGCGTCCACCCACTGGCTCCCTCAATGCTGCCCGGGTACTGGCCGGGCCGTCGGGAGCCCAGGCGTGGCGGCCCGGCGGTGATACCGCTGCAACGCCCGCCTCCGAGCGTGCCGTCCCCTCCGATCCCTCACCAAAGGCCAACATGACTGCTTGGAGCAGCGCAAGCGCCGCAGGGCAGCGCATGTGCACGGGAAGCAAGGTGGGGTGCAGCGCTGTGAGCGGCCGGCCTGGTGGGTCGCCTGGGCGACGAATTGTGGGTCCAGGCAGACTGGGGAAAGGACGGGAAGGGAGATGAGTTGGGCTTGGCGTGCAGCCGCGGCAGCAGCTGGCGCCGGCGCCGTGGGCGACCACGGTCGTGGAAACGCCGCAGTAGCCACACACCTTGCGTGTAGTGGTATTCGGCGTCTCCAGTGCTGCATACGCCAAGTACGCCTCGCGGCCGGGGGGGCGGAGGGCAGGGCAGCGCCTGAAGCGTAGGCACATCACCCGCCGCGCCTCTGGTACCTCTGCCTGCCCTGCCAAGGAGGCCGCCACGTCAGCAGCTCGTGCACGACGACAGCAAGTACAACTATGTGTCACACGTTAAAAAAGGAGCTGGATGAGTGCCGGTGGGTGATACCACAGGCCCAAGTTCGAACCACAGCCGGTACACTAGCTAGGACTTTGCCTCACGGCACCTTCGTGGCGGCATCTTTGGCGGTGGACGGCTGCCCGGCAGACCCGCATGGCGCTTGCAAGACGGTGCCTCCCCAGGATGCCATCGGCGGCCAGATTCTCCTCGCTCTGGACAGCCGGCAGGGTTAGCGGGTTCAGCCCCAGCACATTAAAGTGCCCAATCCCCTGTAACACACACACACACACATGTTTGAGTTTTTGCGATCCAGAGTGTTCCCTGTGCTTCATTGTCAACAGACCTCATTTCTCTTGCAAGTCTGTCTTGCATGCAGCCTCAATGCTAGTCCTGTTTTGCTGTAACTCGCCAACATTCTCGATTTGCTCTTGCCACGCGTTTCCTGATGCCAGTCCCAGCCAGCCGCACTGCCAGCCGCTGGCAGCTGCCGCCAGGCTGACTGAAGCTGAGCCCAGCGCGCCCCTGGGCATGCTGCGCGGGGCAGCACCTGCTGCTCCATGCCTCAATCCCAGTCAAAGGCCATTATCAGGGCGGTGACGTTGTCGCTGGTGCCGTCCTGCATCGCCTTGCGCACGAGAGCATCCGCCGCCGCCTCCGCCACGGCGCCTGCTGGTGATGCAGGCAAGGCGGGGAACGGCGGGCGGGGAGGGTCAGGCTGGGACAGCCATGCGGCGCGCTATGCATATGGCAGCAACTGTGCCATGCTGTCAGGCTGGTTGGGCGGCCAGAATGGCATGCGGACAGCAGGCACAGCAGGCATAGCAGGCAGGGAACTGACTGGACAGGTTGGCCTTGGATGAGGCCAGCACTCGGGAGGCTGCGTCCACCGCCTCCTGCCCGCTCATCACATCAAACAGGCCGTCGCTGCAGGCGGGCGGGCGGGCCGGCAGGCAAGTTGGCAGCAGGGAGCAGGGGCCTAAGGCATGGCGACGGCTGCGCTGCAGGGGTGGATGGTGGGGAAGTCGGGGAGGCACTGGCAGCGTGCAGCACCACAGGCTGTGCAGCGCAGCCGGCATGCACCGACAGCGCTGCTGGGCACCTGCCAAGCAACATGAAGGAGTCGGCGTGCGGGCGCAGCTCCACGCGCGCAACGTCCGGCTCTGCCTCCACCAGCCGCCGCGGCGTCTTGAAGTCGGGGTCTCCCAGCGCTCTGCACAGGCGAGCCAGGCGGGCCCAGGGGGGGACAGACGGCAGTGTTTAGCTTGCGGCGAGCGTGAACAGGCGTGAGCAGGCAGCCATTGGCTGGCGCAGGCAGGCAGGCATGCGCGTGCGGCAGGCAGCATGGCACACTGGCAGGTGGCAGTGGGCGCGGCGGGGGAGAGAGACGGCGGCGGCAGGCGCAGCACACAGCACCAGGCAGAGCAGGTGCAGGCAGAGCACACGGCCACAGCCACAGCCAGCCAAAGTGCACACACAGGCATGCACAGGCAGCACCTGCTCATGGCTAGCCGGCTGCGGCGCTGGCCCTCTGGGTTACTCAGCACGCGGTCGGCGTCGTACGCGATGTGCCCGCCTGCAGCCAGCCGGCCAGCATGGCGTGTGCGCCGCCAGCTGTCGGTGGCTGGCGGCTTGCCAAGGGCAAGAGGGACAGCAGAAGGGGGCAGCAAGGGGGCAGCATAGGGGGCAGCGAAGGGGGCAGCAAGGAAGAAAGAAAGAAGAACGAAAGAAATGAGGTTTGCCTGCTCATGGCTACCATGTAGTCGCCAGTCATGTTAACCACATAATCTGTAGGGTCCACCACCCCGCCTGCGCAGGGCCATGTAGGCATAGCAGGTAGGGGGAACGCCCATGCAGGGGAGCCTCCTGCTGAGCGGGAGCAGCACGGCACTGTGCAGGGGGTAGGACACATCAGGCAATGTGCACCATCTGGCAGCAGCGTATGGGCAGTGGCGGCGCTGCGCTGCCCGTTCGATGCATGCACACAGAGCTGCAGCTGCCTGCGGACGCATGCGGGCGCTTGCAACAGACAGCCACCCTCTCCTGCCAGCACAACAGGCAGGATGGAGGCCGGCGAGCCGCTGTGCTGCCGTGCTGGCATCCAGAGCATCGCAGCTCATCTTGACCCCACTCAGCCTGTCGCAATTTGGCAGCAGCTCCGAGGGAGCATCGCTGCCGTTGCTGCGGCTGTCAGGGTGCCCATTGAGGCTCCTGCTCTCCCCCAGATTAGCCCTTGCCCCACGCGACCACCACGGCCCGGCGCCCGAAAATGCGCTAAGCAGTGGTGGGGCTTTGGACAAGATCAAAACTGAGGGAGTAGATGCGGCAGCACACTGAGCAGCCGCGGTTGCTCAACCTGATCTACCTGCCACCCCAATGCCACCCGACACCAGTCCCACCCCCAACACGGGCCACCCACCGTCTGGGGCCCCGCGCATTCCACGCGCAGCGGCCATCCAGGCAACCAGCGCATATCCCAGCGGCACAGGCACAGCAGCTGCCTGGTCACGACCAGACGGCCGGAACTGGCAGGGCCTGACAGGGCCCCACGCTCACCCTGCGCCTCGATCCGCTCCCGCTCCTGGGGCACGCTGGCCGGCTTGTGGTCGCGGGTCAGCGTCACGGCGCGCCCATCCCGGCACAGCACCTGCAGAGTGTCGAGCGGTGGCAGGCGGTGGCAGGCAGGGGACTGACAGTTGGCGGGTTGGTGCGGCCTCTCCGACTACGTGCGGCGAGCAGCATGGGGCAGCAGCATGCACGTGCGTGCCCTTTGGCCAGCGCTGCCGGCTGCTCACCGCGCGGCTGTCTCCTGCGTGCGCCACATACACCGTCTGGCCCATCCGCAGGGCGCACACCGCGGTGGTGCCGTAGCGCTTGCCGCTGCGGGGCAGGCAGGGGCGGCAGTCGGGTGGGCGCGCTTTCTGGGCAGGAGAGGAGGGCAGCCAGACAGACGCACGCCCCCGCCGCTCTCTCGCACACAAGGGGCCCTGCTGGCGGCGGTGCTGGCAGCGGCCTGGCATGCCAAATGGAGCAGGCAGCCGGGTCTGGAGATCTAGATCTGGTGATTCTGTGGTGTGATCCTGGCAGGCAGGGCTGGTACCAGGGCTGGTACCACCGGTGGCAGCTGGCTCACTCCTGAACAGCGGTCTCCACAATCTCCGTGTCGGCAGCCTCGAAAGCGGCCTTGAGCGCTGCCTGCACCGCCTCCTGGTCGCACGCCGCGCCCTGCGGGGCAGAAGCAGTGAGGGAGGGAGTGTGCACGTGGCAGCAACGAATGTCTTCGAGGAGGCCCCGCCCAAGCCGTGCTGCCGCTTCTAGCCAGTGGTACCGCTCAAGATACTAGTCCTGCCGCATCCGACGCCGCTGGCAAGGCTGGCGAGCGGCTCTGCCGGGCAGCCGCCGCCTCACCGAGCACTGCTGGATGGCGGGCTGGGCGGCCACAAACTGGTGCACGCGGCGGGAGGCGTGCTCGGAGCCGTGGTGCGAGGAGTGGCCGTCGTACACCGCCACAAACTGCGGGGAGGGGAAGGGGCTCGGCAGGGGGTGGCAGTGGCGGTGGGGCGGACAGCAAGGGCCGGCAGGTGCCCCCCTGGGTGACCTCACCTGGCGCGGCAGTGCCGGGTCGGCGGCTCCCTTGGGGCGGAAGTCGGGGATGACGGTGTGCCTGTCCTCCATGTAGCTGCGCTGGCCTGCGGGAGGCGAGAGGAAGCACAGATCGAGGGCGCTCCACAGGGCGGCCTGTTCGGCTTAATGAAGCTTGCGGTCACCACGGTGTGGGGCATGCGGCGACCTCAGCCTGGTGGGATAGGCGGCTGGAGTGCCTGCTGGGCTTCAGCTGCCAGCTGGCCTTACTCTCACCCTGCTCATCAGACACCCCGATGTGGACGGCGAGGGAGGGGCCATCAGAGTGGTTGGTGTCGGGGCGCGCGGCGCCTGCAGGGCAGCGGCGCCCGCCGGCGTGCGCAACACGCGGCTGCTCAGAGGTGCTGCCAGGCGCTTGGGCAGCGCATTGAAACAGGTGCTCGCCATGTGCGGCACCCCGCATAGTGCATGGCCGATTGGTTGCAGCCCCCACATGCTCACCTGCGGCCTTCAGGTTGGCCCTGGGCATGTCGCTGGCGGGCGGCTGGGGATGCAGGCGGCCGGGGCTCACGTCGCCGACCTGCGCCCGCTTGTCGCCCACCGGACCCTCCCCTGCGGCAGCAATTGGGTGTGTGGGCGCGTTGGGCGTCGGCAGGCATACGTTGGCACTCGGTTGGGTGGTTGGTAGGCTGCCAGGGGAAGTGGGGTGGCAGCTTCCTGTAGCTGGTAGCAGTTGTAGCTGGTAGCAGTTGTTTCTGAAAGCGGTGCTGCCGTAACCCACCTGGCGCCTCCCTGCCGGCCGCCTCGCCCTGGTGGCCTAGCCGCTCGGCGCGGGTCGCCAGACCTGCCGCTGCTCCCAGCTTCTCAGATTCCATGGGACCCAAGCGCGGCGGCGGTGGGCGCAGGTGGTAGGTGAGGCGCGGAAGCGGCGCGGGGCGTGTGCGGCAGGCGCTGGAGAGCGTGCTCAGGTTCCTGCAGGAGAACGGGGCATATGCATGTTTATGGGGGGTGCTCAGCAAGGCCGCTCCTGGCAAGTGGACGGCAGTGCTGAGGAGCAACCCCTAGCAGGCCGCCTGACCTGGACACAGCACGTGCCAGACGCATGAGATGAAAAGGACTGACCTGATTCTGGAATGTGTCTCTGCCAGGACTCTCAGAAAGGTGGGGCACCTTGCTCAGCTTCGCACCAGCTGCCCCCAGTAAAGTTCTTTCCACCTGCAAACTTTCTTCCACCAGATGTGTATCAATTTCTGCTTAAAATGACAGCGCTGCTCACTCAGTCGCAGGCGCCAGCGCTTGGCGGAATCGGTGAACAAAATGAAAGCATGGGTTGTTCACGAGCAGGGCGTCACGTGGTCGGCCCAGCTGGGATTTGAAAAACAGGAAGAAGATTGGAGGAAGAATTGAGAGAGTGTGTAGGTAGGTAGGTTGAGATAGTGCAGATCGGATTGGATGGAATGGGAACAAAGACACAAAGGCGCTCTGGCACACACGCACACACACACGCACACACACACGCACGCACACACAACACAGCACATCACCGCGCTCATGCACTCTATTGGTCGGAGGGGCGCTGCTCGCCCTCGCCCCGATCCTGCTGCTGCAAGGCCTGGATCGCCTCGCCGGTGCTCCTGCTGCCCCAGACGGCGCCGCCAACCTTCCGCAGCCGCTGCTCGCCGCCGCCGCCGCTGCCGTTGGGTTCATCCTTGGCGGCCACGGCTGCAGCGGCCGCATCTATCAGCACGCTGCTCTGCTGCTCAGGGCCGTTGCTGCTGCTGCCGTTGGTACTGCTGCTCCCATTGCTGCTGCCATTGCGGGTGGCAGCCCCCAGCACCGCAGAGGGCAGGTCGGTGGCTGGCGGGGACGGCCGCCGCGGCTGCTGCCGCTGCTGCTGCTGCCAGCGCTGCGCGCCCTCGTCGATCTGCTGCAGCGACTCTCCGAGCAGCTGGACGGCGGCGTGCGGGATGAGCAGCGG